ATCTACACAGTCCGGCACATTCTGGACGCTCGCCGCCGGGGTCGGGGCTGGCAGTACCTTGTAGATTGGGCGGACTACGGCCCCGAGGAACGCTCCTGGGAGCCGGCCCACTCCATCTTGGACCCTGCCCTCATCTCGGACTTCTGGGCCCACCGAGGTGGCCCGGGGACTTCTGCAGCCGTCCCTGGACCGGGGGGTCCTGTCAGAGTCCAAGCCCCCAGGCCGGGCTCTCCCAGCTGACCGGCTTCCGTCTTGGACCACATTACCCAGCATGCCCCTCGCGGGGATTCCCTCCACGTTTCACCTGCGTCATCCATGTCTATATATGGAAGACGCTACACCGGCTCTTCACTCAGTCATCGTTCCACCGTGATCCATGATCAGAGTATTTCCAAAGCTACTACAACTAAATCTCCACCTTTCCTCCTCAGACCTCATCCGTCAGCCGTTCCAGCACCGCTTTCAGCCCACCATCTGTATAATAAACGCTCTTACTCCCGAACCCAGTCTTCGAGTCTGACATATATATATATATATATAGGGAACTGGTCATTTACTCTGAAGTCTTTTCGTTTGAGCTCTTGTCCGTGACTTTTAACAAGATCCTTCTGCTTAAAATGTTCACATTTAGCCACGATGGGACGAGGTCTTCTGCTGTCCCCTCTTTTAGCTCCAAAGCGAAGTACCCGGTGAAAGGTGATGTTTTTTACCGTTTCTTCGGGTATCTTCATTTGGGTCTGGAGAAAAGTCTTGATTGTATGCTCGCATTTCTCCACCCCTCTGGCCTGTTCAGGCAAGGACTTCAAGAGTTTTGCAGTTGAGTGATTTAAAAGTGTTCAGGTCACGTGTCTCAAGTGTGAGTTTGGGTTCAACTGTTTGTGGGACACAAGTTTCTCTGTGGATGCTGGACAGATGAAATCAAAAGCCACCTTCTCTCTTTAAAGATGTTTTTTCATGTTTCACATAGATTATCTCACTTCTTTCACCCCTCTCTGAAACCATCCATCTTCAGCCATGTGACCTTTGTCATTTGGGTGCAGATGAACCACTGAGTCTTAACCTGAGCCATTGGCTGTTCTCTATGTTGTAGCATCCTTTTATGCATCTCCTGTTAAAGTTCTCTGATGTAGATGTGTTTCACCCCCTCCTGTCTTGGGGCTCATGGAGGGAGTAACACAGGAAATTAGAATAAAATGAATGATAAACAGTCTTAGAGACAATTAAAATGTTTATTATGCTGCCATAGCAGTTCAAACTAGAAGAGGAACTGCAATAAAACAAGCTAATTTAAGTCTCCCGTATCTAAATCTAAGTAACTGGAAATATCCACTGGCAGAAAACCAACTGGACTATATAACTAAACACAGAATGCTGTATAAACCCACAGCAGTGATTACTTAAATCAAAACAGGAAAGCTCTGAACTGAAAGCACATCTCTTCTCTAAAACAAGAACGTCTAAAACAACTACAATAAAGACTAAGGCCAATACAGACACTACTCACAATTGAAAAATGGGGCAAACACTAAAGACAAGTGAATCCAAAGAACTTCACGCAAAACAAGTTGGCTTAATGACAACATTAAACTAAGCAGCTTCACAACTATGAAGTCTCTGGTAACAAGTTATTTTAAGAACATGTGTGGGACTGCCACATCAGGCAGGTGTGCATGTAGCATTTCAGCTTCTTAATTAAGTAAGGGGGGCTGATTGCTATACCAGTTACAGACAAGAGGACAACAGCACAGATCTCGGCCCCCTGAATTATCAAAACAATCAGCCTTCTGAAGGCTTGAGCAGTCTAATCACAAATGTTTATCATCTGGGGCTTCTACTGGTGTTGCAGCAGCATGTCACTCTCCATGGTGCTGAAATAGGATGCTGGAACAGCGCTGCAGAGGAGAGTGGCAGCTTCCAAGGTGCTGATCACAGGGGAAACTTATGAGGTCCGTAACAAGGTGTCTGAGCATCCATTGCTGCACTGAACTACATGTACCACACCACTGGGCTTGTGTTTGGGCATTTTGTCCTTGGAGTGATCCAGTCTGTCTCTGAGTGTTAGGAGGTTTAAAATCCACCAGAATATCATGCTTGGAAAACAATCCTTAGTTTCTGCAACACTCAAGCACTACATGGGATGACATTGCTACCCCCCCCCCCTCTTCTGTTCCTCTGGCCTGAGTTGATTGTTTTCTTGACATGTGCTTTCACATACAGCCAGTTGTCACACAGGTTGGAGTGATTTATTGATGTGTTTGTGTTCTTTGTCTTTTTCATTCTTATTAGTGGGGATTCCCACTTCTTTCAAATAGACATTAGCCACAATGGGAGAGACAGGGAATGCCATGGCACGTCCGTGTTCCTGTTTGTAGATGCTATCTTTATATTGTAAATAAATGGTGGGAAGGTGAGTCCTTAACTTAAACTGTTCTTTGTGTGTAAAACATCTGTTTTCTCTTGTGTCAAACTCAGAGAGTCGTTCCTCTCTACAGTCAGAGGTTTTGTACAACAACTCAGTCAGCTTCTGTCACTAAAGCCAGAGGCAAGAACAAGACTGTTCAGGTGTTGAGGGTAAATTAAATTAGTTACAACTGAAATTTGTGTGCATATACATCGTTTTTGTTTCTATATTGGAGATAAAGACAGCAAACTAGGAAAACAACACAGATAAACACTAGCAAGTGTATAGTTAGATTTTCGCATTAAAAATGGAACATAGTGAATTTTTGTCTTGGCACTTATTATTTGTGTTAAAAAAGAAAAATGAAGAATTTGTTTTGAATCAACAAGACATTTTTCTGTTTTATTCTGGCTCAGAGGCTGCAACAGACAGACACGGACAGCAGGAAGTGGTGCTTTTCTGAGACAACGGCTAAAAGGTAACATGACTACTCAGTAACGATTGTCTGGATGTGTGAAAATGTGTGTCGCAAAAACCCAAACATAACGAGAAACCAAACATCAGAGGTGACCAGTGAACTCCTCACAACACTGAAGAACACACCTGACCCAGGTGAAGCTCATATAACGGTAGACTGTAACGTAAAAAATGGAGGTAAAGTGACCCCTTGTGGTGGGATCATCACAGTGTTTTCTACAGCTTTCTTCCATAAAAACATTTAATCTAACAAGCTCTAATTCTTAAAATAGAGTTTTATTTTACTGCATGACATAATCTTCACAAGTTATGAACTAACAATTTAATCAAATTAAACAACATTAAAAGAAGAAGGAAAAATTATAAAGACCTTGGATTTTTTTGTCTCCCAGGAGATTTTTCATACTACTTGTTTAATACTTGTTTTACTTGTTTATTAGAAGAACACAATTAATAAATCATAAAACCCCAAAAGAAAATAGAAAAAATGTTTGTAGTAAATATGTGGTGATTTAATGCTGTTGTGCCTTTTTCATTGACTACAGACAATACTTCTAATGTAATCAAGTCTGTATTTTGTATTTTTTAATAAAATAAAATATATTCAAAGAAAACTCCCTATTAAACTTAATAAAGTTGTGAATAAATATATATTTTTTAAGTGTATACATTTTTATGATTGTGTCTGCTTTTATTAACAGCATGTGTAAACTCTTTCTGTACAGCAGCTGTGGATCAGTTCCTCTTCAGCTGAAGGAGGTTTTTGTACAACGTTGCTTCACTGTGTGAACGGTAAGTTGTAATCCTGCTGACAGTAATAAACTCCTGCATCTGCAGGCTGAACTCCACTGATGGTCAGAGTGAAGTCAGTTCCTGAGTAACTTGCTCTAAAACGATGGAACTCCAGACTGACAAAGTGTTGTATCAGCAATCAGGAGTTTAGGAGCTTCTCCAGATATCTGAAGAAACCAGTTCATGTCATCACCTATCAGTGTGTCAGTTTTACATCTGATAGAAACAGTTTGTCCTGCAGCAGCAGACTGAGCTCCTGGAGTCTGAGCCACACTGATTTCTCCTGATGAACCTGGAAAAGATAAAAATGAGCAAAATGATGAATAAACTTTAAAGGAGTTTTATATGAAGAGAAGGATGTAAAGTGTTTCTCTGTTATTTAAGATCATCATTGTAGTGAACCTGTTTCCATCCTGAAACCAAGTTTTCATCAGAGAGTCTCACCGTGAACAAGGAGCCCCAGGGTGGTCAGCAGTAGAGTCAGTGACATCATCATCGTGCTGCCGGTGTGTCGGTGTCTCTGAAAGACCTGGACAGCCGCTGATCAACACTGACCTCTTAACAGCTGGGAGCAGAGAGGCAGGACACATATGCAAACACACACAGTCAGTCGGCTGATCATCAGCTCTACATGTCATATTTCTACGTCTGTGACCTGCTTTTTGTCTGAAGGAGGTAAAAGAAATGGGATAAAATGAATTTCTGAAGAAAATTCTCATTGGAAAATGATCAAACACAACATTTTAGTCAGTCAGCTGATCACCAGCTGTCTCCATGTTTCCTCCTCTATGATGAGAATCTAGACTTTGATACTTGTTTATGAAAATTAATCAGTTTCTTTTTAAATAGTTTGTTAAGCAGAGGTTTATTTGCACAAAAGAGTGAAATGATGTAAAACAGAACGTTATTCATGTCTCATCTAATTAGGATCAGATTCAGGATAAATCTTCAAATCTTCTTTGCAATAATTTGTGACATTTTTACAAAAGTGACTGGATTTTATTCATTTTCTTCTAGTCTTCCTGAAACACAAATGGTTGAGTTATTTTTTAATGTCCGCTAATTTCATTCTTTTCAGTTATTTATTCGTACGTTAATTTTTTCTCTCATTTAACAAAAAATCATCAACTCTTTAAAATCTAAATGAGTTATAAAGGTTTATTAAATTCAGCACATTTAATTATTTTTATATTAAGATGAAATATCATATTTAGTGTTTTGAAGGATGAAAGTGTTGCTACACGTGTTTATGTCATCAGTGAACTGCTGAAGCTTCCAGCTGTTAGTTTCTGTTCAGCCTGACTGAGGGAGGTTTTTGTACGACGGGTTTTCACTGTGTGAACAGACGCTGGCTGTTTATATGATGATAACTCTGACAGTAATAAACTGCAGCATCTTCAGCCTGAACTCCACTGATGGTCAGAGTGAAGTCAGATCCAGATCCACTGCCTGAAAAACGATCTGAGATTCCTGATTGTCTGCGGTTAGTGCGATAAATGAGGAGTTTAGGAGGTTGTCCATCTTTCTGTTGGTACCAGGATAAATGGTCGTTAATAAAAACATCCTGACTGGTCCTACATGAGATGGAGACGGAGCGTCCCACAGCAGAGCTCACTGCTGCAGACTGAGTCACTGTGACCTGACCTCTGGACTCTGAGGAGACAAAAGCAGAAAGCAGCTTGATGCTTTTGTGGGCTTCATTCCAGAGGGACAGATGTTCATAGAGGAGAGGAGTTGGATTCTCTGGACTTTACCTGTGAAGCAGCAGCAGAGGAGAGTCCAGATGAGGACGCAGATCAAAGTCATGGTTTTGATCAGGAGGATTTCCAAGTGTTCTGTTGTGATGAAGGACAGCTGTCAGTCATCCAGTCTTCAACTCTCAGGACTATAAACTCTCCCAGAGCACTGGAGCATGGTGCTGCTGATGCAAAGTCATGCTCTATGGAAATCTGCTGACTCATTCCAACAGGATCATGGCTCAGGCTGATGATAGTTTTAAATCACCTACATTTTAATCACGATTTTGAATCATAATTTAAGTCTGAGATCTTCATAAAATTATCTTTAACATTATTACTTTTAATGTACAAAAAGCTCAAAATAAAACCAATAACTTCCATTAAAACCAGTAACAACACTTTTGAGACTCTGTACATTTTTACAAATGTTTCATCTTTTCTACAATATTTTCTAGTCAGCTTGTTATTTATTCATCAGAACTGAAACAAAAATTCTCTCTACTCAATATTTACTTTTACATGATTTCACGTTTGAACACCTTTACAACCTTTCATCATGTTTAATCATTCAGGATAAATAGTATTACTGTGTTGTTGGGAATTCAAAACTAGCACAGTTAATTAAATTTAAGCTGACAAAAGTCTCATTTAGTATAAACTGGTGAGTTTGTTTGTGTCAGACTCACAGAGCCGTGTCTCTCAGAGGTTTTTGTACGACGACTCGACCAGTTTGTATCACTGTGGTACACGTTTGGTGGAGGAACCAGACTGGAGTTTGGAAGTAAGTTAAAACCTTTAAATTTTACATTTAAGTTGTTGTTATTGTCATTATTTAAAGAGATTTGTTGTCTTTTGAAGTAATTTAGTTATTTTTTAAAGGTTTTACAATTAATATGAATAACTAAACTGCAAAGTTTGCTTTGAAATTAAAATTTACAACATTAACAAATTTATTAGGATTTTAAAATGAGGCCAAAAAAGAGAAAACATTTATTTTTAATGATTTATTTTCTAATCATGATGATTGAAAACAGAAAGTCGTGTCTCTACAGTCAAACGTCTCTAAACAGCAGCTGAGTTAGTTTGTATAACTGTGGGTCACGTCTGGAGGAACCAGACTGGAGGTTAGAAGTTAGTTTAATATTTTTGGGTCTATTATAAAAACACATATATTTAAATACATTCCTCATTTCAGAATGCCCTCTGTACAGAGACCTTTTACAAAGTTATGTTCATTTATAGAAAACTTTTAACAGGTTATGAAAAATCTTTTTTATTTACATTTCTTGTCTTTGTTTCTATCTAATTAACTGTGAGAATAAAAAAACCCAAAATTAAATTTTTATTTAACATTTAATAATAAAATTACATGTTTTTTCTCTTTTTATAAGATAAAACACGAGTAAAAATTTTCCTTGTTCGAATCAAATCTGCCTTTTTTAAATGTTTAATCTTATTTAATTTGTGATTTATTTTTTACTGTAACTCTGAAATGATTCAGATGTAAAAAGTTAAACTGCTGGATGATTTTCTCTGAGCTGATCTGCATCAGAGGTTTCTGTTAGGAAGTGAAACAAAGTGAGTGACTGTTGGAGCAGAAACACATCTGGTAGAAACTTCTTCACATACAGCATCACTTCTAGGAAGAGTTTCTGCTGTTTGACTGAAAGCTGTTTAGTTCCTGTCCTCTAACCTGATTGGTGTCTCCTAGGTGATACCCGTCCCATCCTGACGGTGCTGCCTCCCTCCAGTGAGGAGCTGCAGCAGGGGAAGGCCACACTCATGTGTCTGGCCAACAAGGGCTTCCCCTCAGACTGGAGTCTGTCCTGGAAGGTGGACGGCAGCAGCAGCAGCTGGGAGGAGGACAGGAGCCCCGTGGTGATGAAGGACGGCCTCTACAGCTGGAGCAGCACCCTGAGGCTCACTGCAGACCAGTGGAGGAAGGTGGGCTCTGTGACCTGTGAGGCCACCCAGGGCTCCCAGTCTCCAGTCTCAGAGTCACTCAGGAGAGACCAGTGTTCCCAGTACTGATGGGACTCACTGTGATGCTGGTTTTACTTTGCTAATTCTTTCAGTTTGATTCATGTGGTTTTTCACCTGCTTAAATAAAGCTTGTTTTATAAGAATTAAACTCAAAATAAAGTCAGTCTCATTTGTTTGCTTTTCACGTGTTTAGTTTATAACAGATACATCTATTAAAGACATCTAGAAGGTTGTAAAATGTCAAAATCTTCTGTACCAAGTGTTGATGTTTGTGCAGGCCAAACCCAAGAATTCAAGATTGTCTCTGAAAAAAAAATTATTGATCCAAAATGAAAAATCAAATAAAAGGTATTGAATTTTCAATTCATCAACAATCCTCTAAAAATCAGCTTTATCTGGTGTGACATGAGTTTAGTTAATATTTCAACTCAAAACACAAAATAATAAATAAATCTATCAGGGTGTGCAAGTTTCCAGAGTCACTTTATAGGTAAAAGTTTAGATATATAAAATAAAATCTAGATTCCTTTAAAAATGCTGATCTGTTGCTGCACATCAAACTTTTTTCATTACTTTTCTTTTTTGCTGGAAACAAAATAAACTCCAGAAACATTTATTCTACAGGTTTATCTTCCTACATCTTGTTCTACAGTAAATAACTGAGATTGTCTGATGAACTAAAATAAGTCTTTGTTATTAGCTAAATATGTTCTGTTGTTAGAGTCTGAAGATGTGTAAGCGTTTATGTTTAAAATCAGCAGAAACATTTATATTTCATTTGAATAAAATATAAACAAAGTCAGGATTAGTAAACATGTAGATATTTAATCTGACTGATCTGTTTATAATATGGTAATAACTTTAACACACAGCTTCTGCTAGAAGCTTCAGAGTTTTTTCTTTTATGGCAGTGGGTTGTCAGCTAAATGTGTTTAAGGGCCGAAGTTTTATGCAGCAGACACCGTGAGGGCCAGATGATCTTCTAAAATAAAGAATGGTTTTTGAGTTCTGTCATTAGTATTGTTTCCCTGGATGGTACAGAACTACAACTTGTCTGTTCCTATACATATCTGGGTATCTGGCTGGACAGCACACTCATTTGACATTCACATTAATTCATTACTTTCTAAAGTCGTCAAGAATTGGGTTTCTATACCACAACAGATCATCCTTTACTCCTTCTGCAAAGCAAACCTTGGTCAAAACTTCCCATCTTGGTTTACGGTGACATCATTTATAGGACTGTGTTGGGGTTATGGTAAGCGAATAATTTGTAAGCTTTTACTTACTTTTGGATTCTTCAATAAATTCTGTAAATATGGGAATATTTACCGATTTATTAATTAATTAAGATATTCTTAGATATCTACGGGGCACCACCCATTCTAGTTAGAAAGGCAAAATCAATTGAATCCAAAATCTGATCAATCTGTCTGAAAGTTCGTGGAATCGTTAGGAGCAGAAATTTTCAACCAACACAAACAAAGTCACTTGAGGCAAAACAGAATTTTATAACATTTAATTAAACAATAGAATAATAATGTAAAACAATTTGATATAATTGGACATGTGTGTGTGTGTGTAAAATGGAGGATGTCCCAAATGGATGGATTTGTTTCAGTGGTGAGTCCCCCCAAACTCTAAAAACACGTGTGTGTGTGTGTGTGTGTGTGTGTGTGTGTGTGTGTGTGTGTGTGTGTGTGTGTGTGTGTGTGTGTGTGTGTGTGTGTGTGTGTGTGTGTGTGTGTGTGTGTGTGTGTGTGTGTGTGTGTGTGTGTGTGTGTGTGTGTGTGAGATGGAGGATGTATGAATGGGGTCCTTTGTTCTCACAGAGAAGTGGGTGTGTGTGTATGAATGGAGTCCTCTGTTCTCACAGAGAAGTGGTGTGTGTGAAGTTTCTTCAACTCTCCCAAACACTTAGTTACTTAAAATTTACAGTGAATTTGAACTTAAACACTTCAAAAGTAATAAGTATCTAAATGAATAAAATTGTATGTAAATAACAGAAAAAAAAATAATAATACTAATAATAATAAAGATCCAACAGTGTTTGTGGTTGTAATATTTGACGCATAAATTATGATATTGTGCTGTGAATTTAATGTATCTGAGTGTGTGTGTGCGTGTGTGCGCGTGTGTGTGTGTGTGTGTGTGTGTCGAGTCTGACGCAGTGTTGGAAAGTTGTGTGGTTGTGCCGTACAGGTGTAAAGGTGCAGAAGCAGGCAAAGAGGAAGGGAAAATACAGATACAGGTTAAAAAAAGAAGAAAGAACTAAAAAGAAAAGGTGGTAGGGGTGTGAAGTGGTGAGAACAGGTGATCTTATCATCAACAATACGGATTTAGCAGCTATTTAATCCTGACGTGATCAAACTCAGTGAATCCTGATAAGAATAATAAATGTCTGACCTGATGTTGGGCTAATACAGCCAGTCAGTCACTCCTCGCTCCTTGTAAAGCTTATTGTCCACATAAAGCTTATCCACCAAGATGACAGCTCTCTTCCCATCCTGGATAAACTTTTTGCGAAGCGGAAAGAGGACCCGGCGCCGATCCAGAATTTCCTTAGGGAACTGATCATTTACGCTGAAATCTTTCCCTTTGAGCTCTCTTCCATGACTTTTAACAAGATTCTTCTGCTTAAAATGTTCAAATTTAGCCACGATGGGACGAGGTCTTCTGTTGTCTCCTCTTTTAGCTCCAAGGCGATGTACCCAGTGAAAGGTGATGTTTTTTACCATTTCTTCGGGTATCTTCATTTGGGTCTGGAGAAAGTTCTTGATTGTATGCTCGCAGTTCTCCGCCCCTCCTGCCTGCTCCGGCAGGCCTGCGAACACCAGATTATCCCTCATGCTACGGGCCTGAAGGTCCAAAACCGTCTCCTTCAGAGTTTTGTTGTCCTGGGCGATCCGCGTCATTCCCTCTTCCAGGGAAGAAACAGACTCCCACAGAGACGCGTTCTCAGCAGCGAGCCGTTCAACCTGCTCCTGACTGAATTCCAGAGACGTTCAGAGGTTCTGAAACTCCTGGTGAAGAACCTCGAGCAGATGAAGTCGCCCCTCAAATCCCAGAAGCCGTTTATCAATTGAATCCTATAATTCCAATACATCCTTCTGGGGAGATGAGGCCTCAGGCTAGTCCTGAGGACAGCTCCTCTTGGTCCCAGCAGGTGTTTCAGCCTCAGCTGCTGATTTCTTCGGACCCATGATGAAACTTCAAAAACTTTGTCAATATAATTTAACAAACTTTCTAAATTTCCTTCACTTACCTCCAGATTGAGTGAGTTATACTTACCGGATTATTTTTTCGTTGTCAGTAGTTAGATTAGGCATAAATGAATCTAAATTGTTTGTGAACGTTTGCTAACGAGCAGCCATCAACTTCAAACGCTGCTGTGTCCGGTGATCGGCCGTTAGCGCATGCTCCAAACACCCAAGATTTTCCAAACCTATACTTATTCCATCTTATACACATGAAGGCGCCATATTTTAGCTACGCACACACACATCTATGGGTGCACTAAGATTTGTCTCATGGAACGTACATGGAGCTGGCTCTAGAGAGAAATGATTAAAGATTTTGGATCAGCTAAAGAGAGTGCAAGCAGACGTAATATTGTTACAAGAGACTCACAGATCTGCCACATCCGCAGATGAACTTAAAACACCTGAGTTTCCCAGCATGTTCTCTGCCTGCTATAACTCTAGGCAAAGAGGTGTAGCTATTTTAATACACAAAAACATAAATTTCACAGTATTGGACACAGTCTCTGATCCAGAGGGTAAATTTATATTGTTAAAAATATCTGTACAGAACCAAAGCTTATGTATTTTCAGCATTTACTGTCCAAATATTGATGACCCTCCATTCTTTCATAATTTTTTCTCTGTACTCTCCGAACACTTGGACTGTCCACTTACAATTGGAGGTGATTTTAATTTTTGGATGAATTCCTTAACAGACATGCTCAGTACAGCTGGGACTCAGCGCAATTGGCAATCCACTAATATAGTTAAACAGTACATGAGTGATTATGGGCTTTGTGATGCATGGCGATCTCTTCATCCTAACCGTAGAGAGTATACTTTTTTCTCACACGTCCATCACTCTCATTCACGTTTGGATTATTTTCTAGTCAACAGCTCATTGTTGACTGACATTTCAGACACTGAGATACACCCCATAGCTGTCAGCGACCATGCTCGGGTTTCATTAACTCTGGTAAATAAGAAGACAATCCCACCAAGCAAAAACTGGAGGTTTAACACATCACTGCTCAAAGATGAAGGTTTTATAGATTTTTTAAAAAAGGAGTGGGCTTTATATTTAGAACATAATGATCTGCCTGGAACATCAGCATCTATTCTCTGGGAGGCAGGAAAGGCAGTGATGAGAGGTAAAATAATCTCTTTCTCATCGCATAAGAAAAAAATGGAAAACAAACGTATTCAGGAGTTAGAAGAAATCATCAAGTCTTTAGAGGCGTCCACAGAAGAAGCGTTAATGAGCAAATTACGTAAAGCTAAATTAGAAGTTCATGGAATTATTGACAAAAAGACACAATTTTTAGCACAAAGACTACGAATAGAAAACTTTGAACATAGTAATAAATCAGGTAAATTTTTGGCTGGCCAGTTAAAAATTAATAAAGGGAAAATTACCATATCTGCTGTTAAAGACTTAACCGGGAATATAGTTTATGACCCTGAAAGCATAAACAACACTTTCAAAGACTTTTACCAAACTTTGTACTCACCACAGATAAACCCATCAGATAACAAGATCGATGAGTTCCTTTACAGGATAACACTTCCTAAATTATCAGACAGCCAAGTTACAGTCCTGGACTCGTCACTAACATCAGAGGAGCTCCAGGAAGCCCTTAAATCCATGAGTAATAGGAAAGCTCCAGGCCCAGACGGGTTCCCAGTAGAGTTCTACAAAGAATTCTGGACCATTCTGGCTCCAATATTTTTCAGAATGGTGAGGGAAATCGAAGAGAGCGGCAGATTACAGCCAAACATGAACTCAGCCAATATCAGTCTCTTGTTAAAACCAGGCAAAGACCCTGCATTTCCTACCAGCTATCGCCCAATTTCCCTTATTATTGTTGATCTCAAAATAATTTGTAAAGCCCTGGCAAAAAGATTAGA